GATTAATATTTGAATACTATGAAAATATGCAAGACACTTTAGAATTTGACATTAATTCAATTAATGAAGTTACAAAGTCCAATTAGCAATGATAGTAATAATGAGAGTGGCGAGGGGGATCGTGATATTGTTGTGTTTCACTTTCAGGATTTACAGGGCAAAAAATCTGAGTAAGGCTTGGTGAAATTTGTAGCCGCAATTATGCCCCCTCGCCAGTCAGGAATATTTCTTATGGTACCCCCTTGGCCAAAGTCTCCTAGACTCGTCCAGCCTTCATGCTCTCCCCCACCCTATTCTGTGTTACCCCTACCCTGTTCTGTGTTACCCGCATCCTGTTCTGTGTTACCCCCACCCTGTTCTGTGTTATGGCCCTCAACATCTTCAATATTGTCATCATCATGAATAACCAAGTCACGGTGACGGCTACAACTTCGTCTCTCCCTTGTTGAGTAACTCTTATGCCTCGATGCCTGGACTTCCTCTCGAGCCAATCTCATTAAATCTTCCTGTTCATCAAGGATTGCATTATGTTGCGCCCCTTCACATTCCTGGATGACTGGTTCTTGCCAATTGTTTTCCATTGTCCCATCGGTTTCATCATCCTGTGCCTCATCTTCATCCTGTCTATAATCGTCATCCATGTCCATTGCCTCGTCTCCTTCATTTGATACTGCAACATTCACATTATCATCTAATCGACAACTGCCTCACTAAGAAAATCTTGGTCTAGTAATGGGGTCCTTAGTGACACCCACTCATTGGCGAGGTCCCTCCGGAAGATGTAATCAAGGTTGATCGGCGTGTAGTCTGTGGGGGTCCTCCTTATATGTTTCTCTCAAAATTTCAAATTATAATGAACGTACACTAAGTTGTGCAGCGTCTGTGTCTTTAACTTATTTCACCTCCGGGCGTGTATCCACTGAAATGTACTCTAGTTTCTCTCAGAGCTCGAAGCTGTACAGGTTTGACTCAAAATTCTAACGACAATATTTTGCAATTGCTTTGTTCGAATTCCGTGTATCGTCCACCATTGTGCTGACATAGACAAACATAGAAATACTTAACAATAGAAAATAAATTGATTTAAAAAAAACCACAAATAGTAGTGCATTAAACTATTACATGTTTTAACTTAAAACTACTTGGGTGCAATTTTGTAACTGCTCTTTGGCATTGTTGTATGCAAATTCCTCATTTTTTTCCATGTACATGATAAGCCAGAAATAACAAGATGCATATAAAAGAAATTAGTACTACATAGAAATGTAATTCATTATTGTAAATTGAAATTTTATTACACACGTTTTGATTAAGGTTTACTTGTTTCATACACTCCATATGAGTTTCAAGATCAGGTTCAAGCCTGTAGATGCAGTTTCTTACCCCCTCCATAATATATACATCATCTAAAGTGGCATTGGAGTACAAATTTTGTGGATTAAGAAAGAACCCTACACATGGTTTGTTATATTATTAATTACGGTAACTTTTCTCGAAGTTGAGAAAGAGTCATGAATTGCGATAGTGAATCATAAATTACCTACTGCATGGATCTACTGGTGCAGTTGGTCTCTCCACCGATGATCAACAATCTCTAATATCTCTTTATTCCATATGTTATTCTCAAATGTAGCTTCCCTTGCACGTCTCATTGCAATGAACAGAAATCCCATTGCGGGTTTATCATCAGAGTCATTTAACTTCAATACATGTACTAAAGGTTCAGTTATAGAAACAACATGGTTACATTGAGCCCAAAACCTCCGCTTGAGAAGGGTGGTTTCAACCTGCCTTCTAAGTTGACTCATTGCTGCCCTATCAGTCTGGCATTCATTAGAGTGTATCATTGACCTCAATCCTGCCTTGTTTACCAATATCAATTGTATCATAAGGAACGCTGTAGCGAATCTAGTAGTGGACTCCCTAACAATCTCTCGCATGCAATGCTACCTCATCAAAGCATGAAGATACATGTGATTGTATATAAACCTTGTAATCAACTTGCTCTTCAAAATACAATATTTAAACCTCTTCAGCATCCCTATTTCCATGAGCATCAAATTAATACAATGGGCAGCACAAGGAGTTCAATAAAGATTGGGTCTTCTCTCCATTAGTAACAAGCCTACTTTTCTGTAATTCGAAGCATTATCAGTTACTACTTGGACCACATTTTTAGGCCCAACCTCATCTACAATTTTGTCTAGGTGTGAACATATCAGTCTCCCAGTATGTCTGTTTATTGATAAATCAATGCTAGAGTGGTAAACAATGCCTCTAGGGCAACCTATTAAAAAATTGACAAGATACTTATGAGACTTGTCCTTCCAACCGTCAGTCATGATAGTCACTCTTGTACCTGGCCAACAGACCTTGAACTGTGCGATATGCTAATCAACATCATGAACAACAACTTCTAAATATGGCCCTGAAAACTCTTTCGTAGTTGGACCTCCAACACCTGGCCCTGCCTTAGCTATAGAAGCTACCATCTGTGGGTAGAAGTGTGAGCTTGCAGAATTAAATGGCAGTGCATTAGCATACTAGAACATGCTAATCATCTTTTTCACTTTTTCTATTAATACACCTGCTGACGGAAATTTTAATTTTTTTTATGATATTGTGACTTGTGGGGATCAAGTCCAGAGGGTTCGCGGGTCATTGATGGCACATCTATGGTTTCATGTCGTTGAGTAGTAGATGACCTCTTATTAGAGAAAGTAAGTCTCAATCTACTAGATCTGGATCTAAGCAATTAAAGCCCACATCCTCCCCTACAAGGTACTACATGTTCTTGAGATTGACGGCTACTGGATGCACCATCCCTTCTCCCATACATCCCTTGAATTTTCATTTGTCTATAATTAAGCTTTTGAATACTGGCAATCCTAGCTCGTTTTATTTGAGCCTCAAATTCTGTCTCTTGGTCATCTTCCTCATCTATTGGACTTTCGTACCCCCTCCTTATCTCCTCTGCACCCCTTTCTCTCTGCACTTTTTTTTCTTTTCCTTCTGTAATTATTTTTATCATTTGTTGTTTTACTTTTAGTGGCACTTTTTTACAACCGGTGACATTACCCTTAACAAAGCAAGATGTTTTTTTAGGAGATAAATACCACCACCCATTTTCTTGTTACAAAAATTACATCGAACTCTTCCTTTATCATTCATTTTTGTACCATACTGCCATGTCACATCTCCCCTTCTCATCTTATTATTTTCTTCTAAATTTTCCTGAATATAAAAGTTCATTAAAAAAATATTCATTTGGAAAAATCACTCTACCAAGGGGACCTTGTAAGCATGGATATTTAAGCCCTACTTTCTCATGAAAATGAACAAGTTACAATAACATCCAATAGAAAAAAAAATTAAAATTAAGATGACCATGAATCACCATGCCATTCAATTAACATTTCTCAATACAAAACATGCATATGTGCCTCTAGACCATGAAAGCTAAAGAAACCATGCATGAGGGGAATGCATTAAGAAGGTGGTGCTTTTAAACCGAGATTGAAGTGATTTTCTCAGTTATTGGAGAAGCACGGGGTAATACTAAGAAATATGTTTTCTAGAGGGCTAAGGTCAAGTAAATCCTTCAATGGGGAATATAAACAAAAATAAGTGCCCAAACCTTTCCCAAAGCACATGGTACACCATGAAATTGAATAAGAGCATCAACCTATTAAATAAGAAGTAATCCGTATAAAGATACCTCACTTCTTGATGAGCAGTTTGCATTTCATGTGATAGTGACCCTTGCCATGAATATATATTAAAGGTAAAAAGTATGTCTCAAAATGTTCTAAATGGATGCATCAGAAGGGAAAAATACATCCACTTTCCAAAAGTGGAATTTAATACACTCCTTGCCATAAGTTTAAAATATAAAGCATGTATTGCTCAAAGGAGTTCTACAAGCTAGTACAATAGATCAATTA